TTTCTTTCTCAAGTTGGTAGTGGTCAGAGTATTTTGTCACAGTAATGGAAAAACAAACTAGAACACACACACACACACACACACACACACACACATATACATATATATGAGTTCATAAAATAGGATATTTATATGTGTGTGTGTGTGTGTGTGTGTGTGTGTGTGTCTGTCCATAAAATTGGATAGGAGACAGTGGGAAGAGGTGCAGCAGAGAGGGGAGTGGATCTAAATGCCATCAAATTATATTGTATGAAAATGGCAAATATTCAATAAAAATGAAAAAATAGATATAAAAATCACAAAATTCAATAAAAATCAAATAAAAAAGTATGTATTTCTTCAATTAAAAAAATCAGAAAATGGTCCTTCCATCTTTGCCCATAGTGAATATGAGTATTACTCATTAAGTAAAAGATTGAAGGATGAAAATAAATATCAGAACACAGAATCTACATGAAAACAAGACTTTGGTGCTGCATTCTGCGTCATGGCTCAGTTCACCTAACCTTTGTAATATTAATACAGAACACAACCATGTTCGTAGCAGGGAATGGGGCATTTCTTCTATACTTTGGAAAAGATAATGAAAACCGTGGTGATTTTTTTGAGCTCTTCATTTACAACTTTACATGCATAATAATATTAAAAGGCACCGTTTACTTCTTACATGATACATATACAGAAATTGAATTTCAGAGACATAAGAATTTCAAGTTTTCTGAAATACGTTCAGATCCAGGGTTACTCATGACAGAAGATCTTGGCCACAACTGTGATATATTAAAATGCAAATGTTTCATACCAGCCCTTCCTTCTGAAGACGTTCAGGTCACATGCAGTAGGAGAGAGGAGGGGCCTGCATAATTCTGCCTTTTGATTGGTCAACGACCCTGTCTGTAATCAACTAGGCTCGTCAGCATTTCCACTTTATCCTGCCTCCCTTCTACTGCATTATTTGTGGTTTAATAGAATAATGGGCCATTTTCTTTGCTTCCTTCTAGACGTTTGCCAAGTTACAGGTAGAAAAATACAAACAAACCCCCAAAACAAATGTGGATAAGAGTGAATTTTACATGCAAATGGGAGGTGACCTTATCCTGAGCTGATAGCATGCTCCTCTCCATGGAAGGATGCTAATGTCACACCCAGGCAAATTCAGAGCTGAAAATTTAATTCCAAAGTAGTACTGATGAAGTAGCAAACTATATGTGAATTTATATGGATCCTGAAAAAGTGTTAAATAAGTAAATGAATGTACACGTCAATCTACTTAAGAATAAAAGAATGCTTCTCTTATCTTTCCAATAATGATTACAATAACTCATGAAAAGAGTTCCCTAAGAACTCTTTCTTTTATGTTTTGACAGGGTCTCACTAGTTCCAGTCCACCTGAAGTCACAATGTGGACCAGGCTGGCCTCCATCTCACAGAGATCTGCTTGCCTTTGCCTCTCAAGGTTTGGGATTAAATGCATATACCACCATGCCCAAGGAGAACTCTTTAAGAAATTCTCCTAAAAACACAGCACAGAACTGTGGAAATGAACAGCAAGCCCCAATCTTAGTTGAAGAATTATTAGCAGCTGGTTACTGCTGGGTGAGAAAGAGCTGATCTTGAAGGGAGAGACTCTAGATAGGCTGACTAAACCTGGTTGGATGAAATTGCACTGAGGGACATCTTGGGACAGTAACTTTACATAATAGACCTTAATACAAATAACAGAATGTATGAACTCTAGTTGGTGGGGGCTATGGGAAGTGCCAAAAGGGAAGGGGAAAGGGGGCCTTAAGATGATTTTATGTACAAAATACACAAAAATTTAATAAAAATTAAAAAATGAATTTCTTCTTCCATAAGTTCTTTAATAAATCTCCCAAGTGTTGATAAAATTTCACTGCTTTGTTAACTGCATCACAAACATTGGTCTTAGAGATTCTGAACCTCAAATCTCTTCTGGTGAATCTGCACTTGCGCTGGATAGTGGCTTGAGAGGTTATACACTCATATTGCACATCTTGTCAGTGTATTTCATGGGCACAGGCAAAGAATAACTAACTAGGATTGAAAAGCACTTAGAAAATCTGAAGCATTCCACAAATTCTTAATAAAAATGTCTCCTTAATGCCTGAGATGAAAGCTGCAATTTAAGACATTGATTACCAATAGTATTAATTCTGCCAAATTTGGTACACTCTTCAATTAAGTAGCAGTTATTTAGATGAATGTTCAAGTCAGATGTTGAGTGGTCCTTAATTTAATGGCACACTTTAAAAGAAATGCTTGAGGCCTAACCTAATGACATTATGAATTAAGTGTACAGCATTTATTTATCTGTGATTTGAATTTTTGGTTGTCATATAGTAATAACTAATGCAATACATAAATGAATTTCTTTTACTTGTAGGAAGTTTGGTGTCTGATGAGATACTGACCATCAACATAGGATAATTAAGATGTTGGGAGTACTCCAAGAACTCAACATTCATTTGACTACAATGCAAAGACCATGTATTTTGAAGACCTTTATATGACACAGGGAGATTTTATTTTCATTCTTAAGATATAAAATTACTTGGGAGTATATAAGATCCTAGTAGAATAAAAAGATACTGAATTCTAAGCTACCAGGTTTGTTTATATCTTATTGTAGATTGTGAAGGGATCACAAGGCAACTTTGGCAAACAGAATGAGAATTTCTGTAAGATACCTATATTATAGTACCTGCTTCTTCTGGGAAACCCTTAAAATTTCTTCTTACATAGAACGAACAGTCCTCTAAGTTTTCCATAGACACCATAAATCCAGTATACTTGTGAGTGAAATGCTCTTGTGTATAATAATATTTGTTATCAAATGTGATGGTTAACTTTATATGTTATATGACATATTTTATATGTTAACTTGATTAGGCCATGCTGTACTCAGACATTTGACCAAAAATTATTCTATTTTTTGTGTCACTACGATTATTTCTGGATACGATAAACATAGGAATCAATAGACTTGGGAAAAATGATTATCTTCCCTTAGGCGTATGCACCTCATTCAAGCATTAAAGCTGTGAAGAGAACGAAGAGCCTTAACAAGAAAGAGGGTGTTCCTCGCATCATACTCTTTGTTTTCTAACTTGTTTTCTTCTAGTCTCTAAGCTCACACTGAAACACTGACCCTTTAACCTCCATTCAGCTGATTCCAAATGAGAACTGGTATGAGGCATACCATCAGGTCCCCTGGTTCTCAGGCTTTTGGATGTAGGCTGGAGCTGTATGTCTGTTCTCATGTACATCCAGCTGCTTGCCTCTGTAGCATCCTTGGTGATAATGTACGATAATTCCTTAGTGTAAATCTTTATTACTTCTTTTTCTCTGCCTATGTCTCTCTCACACAGAGAGAGGCACACACATACAGAGAGAGAGAGAGAGAGAGAGAGAGAGAGAGAGAGAGAGTCTAATTATGTGGAGAAGCCTAACTAATACATCAGGTGTTTGGAGGACTGCTCAAGGAGGGTCAAGTTGCCACGACCAGAAGTGGTTATGGTCCCACATGAATGAACATCACATACAAATACAACAGAAACATGTTTTCTCCATAAGGGAAAAGAAAGGAAAGCCCAGCATCGTAAGCTATGATAAGGCATGTTGATCATTCCTTTAAGTGGAATAAATCTATCCACTATAACTAGTGAACCAAAGGAAGTCTCTGAACAGTTCTCTGCCTCTGAGTTTTCAAACATATAACACAAATAGCAATGGTATCTACTTTACAGATGTGCTGTGAACAAGAGCTCGATGCATGCTCATTTCCTTCTGTGATGTCAATACTTTGGAGCTCCATTGCCCTGCCAGGGAAGCCCCACTCAAATAATGGAACTGACATGTTTATAGAGAGTAAGGTTGAGATTATGTATCAAGATTTGAGCCTTCTTTTTCTTTTAATTTTCTTTGAATAGAATTTACATTTCCTGAAATTTTAAGGATTAAGACACATAGAAAATATAAAACTATGTCTCAAATTGGTACTATCTATATACAAATTACACAAATTAATTTCTTTATTTTTAAGATAAGACATTTAAAACCCATGTTTGAAGCCAGGAATATGGGCCAGAATCACCAATGCTACTTGCAAGACATGGAAATGCAGGAACCCTTTTCCAACTGTGTCAACATTGTAGTGACTGTGAACAAGCACAAAATATCTGCCTGACTTGTGGAATGTGTCTGTGTTATTATGGAAATTACACGCACAAGCACATTTGAATTTAGAGTGATAAGGAGTCCTTACAGGTGTACACTGGTAATTTTTATCAGCTTAATCAAATTTTCATTTTAAACCACCATCAGATGATCTTTGAAGCACATACTGCATGTAGTACTTTATAATTCTAATCATTTTAATCTAACATTATCTAAAGCATTTCAAATGTATTTGTAAGTATTTTATCTAATCAATATTTTCATTAAGGACAAAATAATGATTCCCCTCCTCTTAATGAAGTTCTTACATGGAATAAAGTCAACTAATCAGACAAGAAGAAGATATTTTCATTTCATTGGCAATTTCATTGCTGGCCAGACTGGCAACTTCAGGGTCACTTGACAGCTCCAGGAATAGCTTCTTAAAGTAGCTTCTTAACCTAATCTTCATCAACTGAAATATGTCCTAGCTTCTTATACTAATCTCCAACTATAAGCAAAGAACTTACAATGCTTGACTTGCAAGGCAGTATATGCTTTAAAAAATCTACCCTGGCACTGAAAAAAGATTTAATAGTTGAATTCAGAATATTGACAAAGAAAGATAAGGGGACATAGAAAAAGCACATCTAGGTCACGTCTTTGAAGCTAGTAATGTAATCACTGCAAGTTTAAAAAAATCAGCCCCGTTTGGGGATGTGCCTGTCTTATAGAAATTACACCCATAATGGGAGCACAATAATCAGCACATTGCATTCCCCAGTCAAAGCTAGGAGCAGTAAGATGTTTTCTCTACAACTTACTTTGATTTTTTCATGTACAGCCAGTAGACAACACCAGCAACGAGGGCAGCAAGGAGGAGACCAACTACAATTCCCACAATGAGCTTCGCCTGGTCATTCACCTTTTCTCTGTTTTCATCTACAATAAAGAAGAAAAGTCCATGCGATTATAGTCAACACTGAAGATTTTAAAGAGGTCAACGTAGTCATAACTCGCATTAATGATGAGTAAGGTGCACTACCATGATTTACATGCAAACTTGTGATTTTAGAGGGTAAAAATTTTTAGCATTTTGACTATCTTGTCTCATTTGGTATTTTAATTTAAGTCAAATTGTGGACAGCTTAGAAAATTATTGATACAAGGACACTTAATACATCTTGAGCTGAGAGTCAGGAGGAAGAGGCTGCAGCATAGTACCTACCACTTATCTCGTCTGCCTCATCGTGTTCTGGAATACTTACTGAAATGAAAAATGTTAATATGAAATTAAAAACAAAATTTGTTGATATATGAAAGTCACCTCTACCATTATCGTATGATGTAATAATACTCAGACAAAATAGCTATTCTACAGCTTAGGGTAAAAAAAAAAATCACACTTAATAGAGCATGAAGTTCCCTGCAAAGGAATTAATTTTGTTTTAAGGAAAGGAAAGTAGTTAAAATGCAAAAGTATTAATTTTCTATAGAAAATGCAGAACCAACAAACTGTGGTACAATTCTAAAGTCCATATTCTTTTTTTTCAACTAGTTACCACCTTTTAATAGTATTTTCTTTTTAGGAGAAACACATTGACCTCTATGAAGTCTACAATGCTGTGTTTCTCAACGTTCTTCCACTTAACCTGTCTCTGTTTAGGAGAACTGATTTTCATCTGCTAGTGGAGGTTGGGGGTAGAATTTTTAACTAGGGATGCTCTAGAGATTAAACAGCAACCTACATAATGTTTGCCATTCTTGCAAGTTTCTGATTGTTGCACATCCGTCTTAAGGATCACTGCTTGGAGGATTATCATTAAATTACATAAATATTCTTCAGAGTGCATGGGTTTCACGATGTTGGATAAAATGCAGATCCCATACTCTGTCTACATATTAAGTTGGAATCTCAAGAGGTACTGAACTTGAAAATAACTATATTTTAAATACCAAGAAAACTGAAGTATTTCATTCAGTGGGTTAGTATTACAAAGATGTGTTCAGTAAAAAAGGATGTGTTCTCTCTCTTGGTAGTACAAATCTATACTTACCGAATTGCATTCTGAGAAGTCAATGACTGTATTTTAGAGTTAATTTTGTTTAGTTCTTTTCTCCAGCCAATCCATTAGGCCTTTATATTCTAGTCAATCTGTCAGGCACCATTATCTTTAGAAAACAATTTGTTCCCAGAATTCCTAGCCATTATACCATTAAATTTCATATGCAAGGATTCCAAGGAATAGGTGTTTTGAAGATAAGCTAACATCCTGCCCAAAGTTTAGCTTTAGTATGAATCGGTTCTGATTTAAGGTCGACACAGCAACATAGCAATGATAATAGAAAAATTGAAGATGGTGCCTAATTTCACAATAAACCACTTTCCTATGCTAGTCATGATTTTGACATTGACAGATTCCTTAATTAGGATAATTTCATCTGATTTTGGTTATGATTCAAAGTGATACAAAAAAGGAGCAACTCTTGCAACTTGATTTTGTAAATTCTCGTATCTTTTTGCTACTAATTTGATAACCAATATGTTTCTTGTGTTTCTAGATAAAATAATGGCAGGATAAATACTGCAATGAATTGTAATGCAAAGTGATCAGTAAAATTAAAAATTTACCTAATTTAAATCTTTTATAAAAATGTTTTAAGATTATCTTTGAATTATCTGTACTCTGAATCCATGGGTTAAATACAAGGAACTCATTTCTTATTCTGTTGCTCTTGGGAACTATTCCTATTATAGAAAAGAGTGTCTGAGTTGGAAGCTATAAGTGATTTGAACTGTGGAGACAAGGATAGCAGAAGAATGAAAACCAGGGAAAAAGGAAAAGCAACCGTATGGTGATGATACCAATGCCAAACAAATAAATGAAACTTACCAAGATGCAGTACAGGAAGATGGAATTGAAGATTTTAAACTAATGAAGAATAACTTCACATTTTCTTATGTTTTTAATGCCAGAAATGAAATACTCACTAGCAGAGACATTCAAGGAGTTTACTGTTCTCTCCAGTTGGTTTTCTGCTGTGCAAGTTAATGTAACATTCTCCTCAGGGGAAATGATAATTTTACTATAATACCTGCCATTGATATAAGGAGATTCCTCTGTCTAGAAGAAGAAGGAAGATGTGTTTAGAAATGGAAATGCATTTTTACCATCTGAGAAAAAGTAGCAGTGGATGGGACAGGACAGGTACAATGCTCTATTGTCTGATTTTTGAGGTTATATGGACAAGCACAGAAAATGACCATCTAGGATATCTGCAGTTTTACAGTGCACAGAAAAATATTTCTAAATCCATAATGGGATTTTTCTGTGCATGAGTCTTTTGAAATTTTTAATAAATCAATCAAACCCTCCTTTTTCAATAGATGTTCAGTTTCAAACATTTTGCATGATATTTGTTTCAAAACATTATTAGTTATTATCTAATTATCAGTTTTCTTTTAATTAACATTAGCATTTAATTGCTTATGAATATAATCACTGTTCTTTGCTCTGGGCATCTATTTCTTTACCTTAAACCATCATATCAAAATACAACGTATATATGATTCTCTCATGAGTAAATAAGACTAAATTTTTACTCCCAGAATTTTCCTGTGCTAAATACAGAAAGTGCATCCTTCACCAGTAATTTAAGTCAAGCACATGTGATTGTTCTGAGACATGAATCAGGACAGTCACTGAATGTGAAGCCTTCAAACTTCAGGAACAATGCAGCTCCATCCTTCTCGACATTCCACCCTTCAAATTGCCACACGACTAAAGCAAGTAAATAGTCACATCCTTTCCTGCTCATATTTATTTGCATTGTAGCCCATTATTTTATTTTATTCTTAACCACTCTAAGTGCCTTGAGGAACTGGCTGTGAAGTAGTAGGTTCAATGTGCCTTTGAGGAGTGAACAAAAAGGATTATGGATGGATCTATATAAACCTAGAACAAAAAAAATAGCATATCGCCTCTAGGGCCAGGCTCACTCCTTCTCCCTGACAAGGAAGAAGGGCTTTGTAATTTCTATTCTCATGGTGAGTTTACCTCTTATTTTCTCATTTCTCACTAGGATTTTTCATACTTTTTTTTTCATTAAGTCTTTGCTTTGATACTTTAATCTCTACAAAACATAGTTGCTTATTTTGAGCATAACCCTTTAAATTGTTCTATCCATGCATTTATTAGACACACATGTGGTTTTTCTTCTACTTTGCATGCCAGCAGTACCAGTACTTATAGGTTCTTTTCTACTGCATTTGTCACTTAATTAAACTAGAGCCCAATACAGTGACAAGAGTTGGAAAGAAACATTTCATTTTTAATCCTTCTGAGCACGGTCTTCCACTTGTGTGTCTCAGCTGTCCTTAATCCAGTCAGAAGTCACTTGCTTTGAGTGACCACTGTGGGGACTTTCTGTATATGTGACACATAGGCAAGAACAGAAATCCACCTTGCTCAGCAAGCAACTGTTACTATGAGTTGAAACAGTGTTTCACCTTTCCTGCAGTGGAAAGTGGAATTTACAACTTAATTTGCATCGTTTTATTTTATACTTGTCTTCTTAAAATATGAGTCCAGATTCTGCATTCCTGGTGAGTCTCTACATAGTTCTAATGATCATGCAGTCATGAAAACTGCTATAGAGAAAATGGAACTGAAAGTATATTAATGTCCCAAGCAGATTGATTAATTAGTGGCATTAGAATTCTGAATCCTCAGCAACAGTCTTGTATGTTCTCATTCCCCGCCCCCTCTGAATGTGTGTCTGACTTAGTAAGAAAAATACTACTTATAAACTTTTGCTATTGCCAAAATATCCTTCCAAGACTACAAATACTAAGGGTAGGTTAATCTCCTCTCCTGTCCAGGAAGGCACAGCCTACATATTAGGTGTTGCCCACCCCTTCCCCTTATTCTGGCCCTATCCTCAAAAAGGCAAATTTTATCATGTGTTCCCAAGCAGTAACTTTGTTGATCACCACCACTAGGCCCAGATTTAAGGAGTATCTTAACTTGTATAGTAAAGTATATGTTCTAGAAAAGTATATACTGTAATGATTTAATCACCCAAGATTCAGGAATTAATGACCATGGAGAAACGCCCAATTTTAATTCTTTTAAAAAGCAGATACTGACCACAACACAATGATATTCAATATTCTCCATAGCTCTAGGATTTTTCAAAAAAATTTTGAGCCATGTTCTTCTTTGCAGAAAATTTAAAAGTTAGAAGCTTTCCCTGAATGCTTGCTGCAAATCCCACTTGGTGACAAACCAGCCTATACTTCAGGCACCTAAGGAAAACTCCACTTGTGACCAAGGGTAGTGTAGAACAGAAAGACAAATACTTGCTTGGTTTATGACGCTTCCACTGCCAGTAATGGTCCACTGAATAGCTGGCTTTGGAAAACCTTCCACATGGCAGATTATGGTTTTAGACAGTCCACTGGGATCAGTTTTCTTTGTCATTTTAATTTGAGGTTTTCCTAAAATATTATTACAATTAAAATGTTACAATTGAAATAAAAAAAACCAACCAAATATCAAAGTCTCAAAGGAAAAAAAAAAAAGAATTGGCACTAAAGCATTTTACTACCTTCCACGATGAGTGTCAGTGACTCCCTTTTTTTTAGTCCTTCAACCTCTTGAAGGGCAGTTTCGCAGACATAATTTCCAGCATCCTGATAATGAAGACTAGAAAATGATGGGCTGGATCGAAGCCTGATATTATCCTGGTCAAATTCAAAGCAAATGAATTCAGAAGGCACAAAATACAGCTTTTAAAAATTATTATTATTTATTTTTTTGTGTGTGTGTGTGTGTGTCTGTGTGTGTGTGTTTGTGTGTTGTTTACACCTGAATGTGTGGCTGCCTATCCTGTGTATGAGCATGTGCAAACCAGAGCAGGGCATCTGGTGTCTCTCTCTATCACCCTCAGCTTCATTGGCTTGAGATGGGGTCTCTCACTGAACTAGAAGCTTATCTCTCGGTCCAGGGAGTCCTAAGGCTCTGCCTGACCCCAATGCTGGAGTTTCAGGCACTTGCAGCCATGCCTGCTTTTTCAATTTTAAGGTGGATGCTGGGGATTCAAACTCAAATTGTCAGTCTTTTAAGAGTTCTTGCCCACTGAGCTATCTATCCAGTCACACAAATGAATGTATTGTTTAGTAATTAAGCAAAAATTTATTCTTCCAGGTCTAATGGAAGGATAAGCAGTTTTGTTTTTAAAAAATCTCAGATGCTCTCAAAAATAGCTTTCCTTTATCCTTTACAGTTTTGGAGTCAAAGTGGAGTTATCATTCAGACTCTCCTGCTATGGTATTGACAATGTAGATCAAGTTTGTCGTTTTCTTTGTTTGCTAAGTGGGGTAAGATCTTACTATATTGAATTGTTTGAGGATGCAGTTATATGAATAATGTCACATGTTTACAGTGATCAAAAGCCTCATTGGACAGACCACATTTATTGTAATAGAGATGGGATTGTCAGACCTGACTACTCATGGTACCCATCAGTGCTGGTCTTAAATGCATGAAAATGATTTTGTTTGAATGGCTGTCAAAACAGGGGATTCATTATAGAACCGCAAAACTTGTGACTGAGATAAAATTAGCCAGAAACCCTTACTACTATAATTTTTTAAAAGAAAATAACTTTTAATTAAAAATTCCTTGATATATTGAGCTAATCATATTTTCAGGAATTTCAAATAAAAACAGAGAACTAGACACAATTCTAAGATTATTTGGTCTTTGTTCAATAGTATGGTTCCCTCCATC